ACTGAGCTATATTGCTAGTCCTTTTTTTTTTTTTTGCTCTGTGGTTCTGGCACCTGCCTTTCAAGAACAAGGGCCCAAATTCAATACCCAGTAACAAAAAATAAAATGGCCTAGGATGGGTGCAAACTTTCAATCTTCCTGCTTCAGCCTCCCAAAAGTATGCACTATCATGGCTGTTGCTTGCTCAGCAAAAATGCCACCTTTATGATATGCTTCATGTTCGAGAGAACGAGATGCCCCAAACCCAGTGGAATTCTATTTTGCCTGTTATGCAGCAACCAAAACTGCAGGAAACTCATGTGTCACTGCAGCACCCAGAGAAACTAGTCAAAATTTATTTATTTTTTAAAAATTTGCAGTCGGGTGTGGTGGCACAGGCCTGTAATCCCAGCACTCAGGAGGCTGAGGGAGGAGGATCACTGTGAGTTCAAAATCAACCTGGGCTACATAGTGAGTTCCAGGTCAGTCTCAACTACTTAGTGAGACCCTGTCTGAAAAAACAAAACAAAACAAAAAATTTTTTTATATTTTGGTTTTTTGAGACAGGGTCTAACTACATGGGCCAGGCTGGCCTTGAACTCACAAGCAAACCTGTTTCAATCTCAGTCTCCTTACTGCTAGGATTACAGACATGCACTACCACACCCAGCCTATAATAAATTTCTTTTTGAAATAAATTGACCTGCGCAACTTACCAAGATGATGTAGCACAGTGTGAAGGCTTTCACACTAGGTTCAGTGTTGGGGGAATAAAATGCTCAGAAATGCAACTGTTTAGGGCCGGGTATTTAGCTCACAGTGATACCAAAAAGAAAAGAAAAGCAACTGTTTAAACAAACCTTGCCCTCAAAGCCCTTAGAAAAATTTACATATAACCTGTTTATCTTCGGTTAAGAAATAGGATAAGGGCCAGGGATTTAGCTCAGTGGTTCTGCCACCTGCTTTGCAAGTGCCAGTCCCGCGTTTTCGATTAAAAAAAAAAAAAAAAAAAAAAAAGGATAAGCCGGGCATGATTATACATGCCTGTAGTAATCCCAGCACTTAGGAGGCTGACCCTGTCTCAAGAAAAAAAAACAAAACAAAAAACAGACAATACACTGTCACAAAATTAGAAAGCTATAAAATGGCTGTACTTAGGGCCGGGGATTTAGCTCAGTGGTTCTGCTGCCTCGAAAGCACAAGGGCCCAAGGTTCAATCCCTGGTACAAAAAAAAAAAAAAAAAAAAAAAAGGCCATACTTAAACTTTCTCTTATCAGCCTTAATTTTACTATGGCTTAATATTTGGCTACATTTTCACAGTTCTGACATCTTTTCATTTAACTGTGACTGTACTGTTACCTGGACTGTCCAGCCTATGCAAAGTATACCCAAGTGGAAAGGCCAAAGCCACCTCACACTCCCAACTATGAAATACACTGGCTCTTCCTGCAGTTCAAATTGAAATGCTAGAACTGTAGTAGAGGGCTGGGGATTTGGCTCAGTGGTTCCACCGCCTGCCTCGTTAAGTGCAAGGTCCTGAGTTTTTAAAAAGAACTGTAGTGGAGAACTTACGTCACATGTTTGTTTTTCTTTTACAACAAAAAAAAGGTTATGGTGCTCACTACATACTCTTCTTGCTTTCTGACCTCTGGGTCAGGAAGCCCTCTCCACTCTGAACACTTTGCTGGGAAGTGTGGGCCTCCACTTGTGGTCTTTGTGAGATAGACTAGTAACTGAAAATCCCAGCCTGTTTTTTTTTTTTCAGTCTAAGCTTTTTAAAAGCTCCTAAACTCTTTTAAAAAAAAGACAAAAGATGTTAATGTGTGAGTTGTTTTTTCTAAACTAAAACTTCAGGGGGCTAGAGCTCAGTGGTTCAGCCATCTGCCTCACAAGCACAAAAACCTGAGTTCCATCCCCAGTACACACACACACACACACACACACAAAAAAACCTCCCTTCTAAACTAAAACCTCAGTATTCAAGTTTAATTGCAGTATACGCACTCTGCAATAAGTAAATGAGTTTTGGGTTGCACTCTGGGCAGTCTCTGAAAGGTTCACCATCAGTGTGCCAAAAAGAATTTTGCTTGGGATTTAGCTCAGTGGCAAGGCGTCTGCCTCACAAGTGCAAGGTCCTGAGTTCAATGCCCAGTACCTGCCCCCCAAAAATAAGAATTATAATATATGTATTAAGAGGCAATTATTTCAGGGCCAGGGATTTAGCTCAGTGGTTCCACCTCACAAGTGCAAGGTCCTGGTACCAAAACAAACAAAGAAGAGTTAATTATTTCATAAATGTTTTTAAAGCTTTGTAATTTATCTTAAATGTCTGGTATTCTTGGGATTTTAAAGACAGTGAGACAGGGGGCCAGGGACGTGGCTCAGTTGCACCGCACCTGCTTGGCAACTGCGGTTCAATTCCTGGCACCGAGAGATAAAAAAGAAAAAAACAGTGAAACAGTTAAGAGGAAAATCTTACAACTTAGAAAAATAAATGTAAAAGCTTTCATGTAAGTAATAATAAAAAATGGCCAGACAGGTACTGAATACCTATAAACCCAGCTACTCAGTAGACAGGTAGAAGATCACAAGTTCAAGGCCAGCATAGGTACCCAACACTGGTCCCAAAATTTAAAGAAACAAAATCTAAAAATTAATCCAAGAACTCAGGAGGCTGAGCCAGGAGGATTGCCAAAAGTTCAAGACCAGTCTGGACTACAAAGCAAATTCAAGACCAACCTGGACTACAGTACAGAAGACTCTGTCTTTTAAAAAAACTAAAAAAAAGGCTGGGGATTTAGCTCAGTGGTTCCGGCGCTTGGTGCCTGCCTTGCAAACACAAGGGCCCAGAGTTCAATCCCAGGTACCAAAAAAACAAAACAAAACAAAAGAAAACTAAAACCGCTCAGGTTACAAGGAAATCCTGCTACTTTTAGCCATTTAGAGTACTTCAAATTAATCTTTTCAACTCATCTTCCACAATCATAGGCAGCACTGCTTATCTTCGAGGTGTGCTCTCAACTCCTCTACCCATCTCTCCATCTCCATAACTATTATCAAAGCCCCACCACACCTTGTAAAAACTGGTTTCCTTAAAGGCCACACAGCCAGAGCAATTTTTAAAAATTTCCTCTACGCATCTTGTAAAAACCTACAGAGGCATCAACCATAAAGAAAGCAATGAACTATACACTGTAACTCAAAATTCATGTTCATTACTGGGCTCTCGGTGGAGGGAGTAAATTCAAGGCCAGCAGGAAACTACATAGTAAGACCCTGCTTCAAAACACCAAAAAAAAAAAACCTTCTGTTTATCAAGATACCTCAAAGTGAGTAAAAAGACAAAAGTTTTTTTGGGGGGACTCTATAGTTTTGAGACTCTCTGTAGTTCAGGCTGGCCTTAAACTCTGGCAATCCTCCTGCCTCGGCCTCCTGCATGCTGGGATTACTGGTGTATGCCACTATGCCCAAACAAGATAGGCATTTTAAAGCTTTCAATTCTCAGAACAATTCCACATTGTTTGTGACCCATCATTCTGTTGACTGGATCCCTTCTAACTACCTCATCATTCTGTTGACTGGATCCCTTCTAACTACCTCCACGCCTCAACCCCCCCATCCCACCCACCATCTTAAGATTCAGACTCTTCTAGAACCAGCTTTCCACTCCCACCCCCACCATAATCTGGCTATCCTCATCGGTCAGTTTACAGAGCTGAAAGCCTGTCAATGGTGGTCAACTTTCACAGGACTGTTATCATCGAAAGCTCTAAAAGGCTGGTCACCTTCCCTGGACTAGCCTAACCCCTCTCTCCCCTCTCTCCAAAACACAACGGAGCTCACAAATCTGTACTCTAGAATTGCCTCCTTGCTTATCTTATTCACCATTTTATCTAGGATCTACAATGCCTAATACAGTTTGGCAGAGACAGTATAAGAACTCTTACGGAGGGTGTGGCTGAGACAAGTTCTCACTGTGCAGAGTTCAGGTTGGCCTTGAAATCACTGGAATGTGTAACCCAGGCTGGCCCCTCTCAAAGCAATCTCCTGACTCAGCCTCCCAAATGCTGGGATTACATAGGAATGTTTGTCGAAAAACAAATCTTTAGAAACCTAGTATCAGAGATGCCTGCTTGTGTGCCACAGAGAACACACAGAGCTCTGTTAGGCTCTACTGGCACACAAGCCAAGTTACTCCAGCGAAGGTTTGACCACTTAGCCAGCACACCAAATGCAGGCTTTTTTTTTTTTTTTTTTTTTTTTTTTTTTTTGGTGGTACGGGGATGGAACTCAGGACCTTGTGCTTGAAAAGGCACACACGGTGCCTCTCCCGAGCCCACAAACTTGTATCTTTCAGTAAAAAACTCTTTGTATCATTGAAAGCTATTGTGCTTTTCTTTTAGGACAAAAGAAGTTAATGTAGAGCTGTGTTTTTTTGTTTTGTTTTGGTTTTGGGTTTTTGAGACAGAGTCTCACTACGTGGTTGAGACTGACCTGGAACTACTCACTATGTAGCCCAGGCTGGTCTCCAACTCACAGTGATCCTCCTGCCTCAGGCTCCAGAGTGCTGGGATTACAGGCGTGCACCACCAGGCCCGGCAGAGCTGTTTTTTTTCTAAACTAAAAAAGCCAGTACTCAGTTTAACTGAAGAGTTGGCACTGTGCAATAAATAAGTGGCTTTTGGGTTGCAATTTGGAAACTCGTCTCTGCAAGGTTTGCCATTACTAAACAAGTGTGTACAGCAATTCCAAAGTCAGACCTCAAGAAGCAAATGCTATTTAATATGTAAAGTACAGGCAGAGGCAGAAGACTGCTGCTAGTTTTGAGGATAGCCTGGACTCCTAAGGAGTTCAAAGCCAGCCTGGGACTACATAGCAAGACCCTGTCTCAAAAACCCAAAAACAATATGTAAAAGTACAATCTGACAATAAACTCGTGTTTTTAGTTTGGATGCCAGGTAGAATCAATTTGGGATCAAGTAAAATCATTATAACCATCATGCATTTCCTGTTATTGCAGATGATGGCTGTTTCCCACAAGCAGATTCTACAATCGAACGTTGTTTTTGCAGCGATGGGAATCCAATGAACTGCCAGAAGAGATCGATTAAAAGGACAACCCAGAGCTCAGGATGAATCTCAGAAGACCACTTGCCTAGCACTTGAGCCTCTGGGTTCAATCTCCAACAGCGCGCGCGCGCGCGCGCGCGCGCACACACACACACACACCCCTAAGGCTGAAAAACCTCAGAGAAGGCAGGAGAATCGATGCGAGTTCCAAGCTAGCCTGAGTTAGGTGACTTCAGGGCCAGCCTGAACTACAAAGTGAGACCCTGTCTCAAAAAAACAAAAAGAAAAAGAGGGAGGAAAAGAGGGAAGGAAAGGTGATGCAGCTCAATGTGAAGGCCTCAGTTTCAATCCCCAGTACTGAAAAAGGGGTGGAGGCTAAACATTCCTGTCTGGACACTGGGAACCACTAAGTAGCTTTCTAATCCTGAGGAGTTATTTTTCCTGGGCCTCTTCTTCATCCGTTCAAAAGACTACCATTTTACGCCTAACAGTGTCTGCTACCCAGTAAAAGTGAGCCTTTCAAAATGCCGCCCGTCGCCCCAGTTTAAGCCCAGCCAAGCCACAGGACACCAATGAATTACACAGAAAGCTACAGGCCACCTCCGGTCAAAATTCCCTACGGTCACGTCCCTACATCCTTACCCCGGGGCAATTCAGGGTCTTTCAAGGCCCACCATCAACTCTGAAAAAAAGAAAAAAAAAAAAAGCGCCCCACCCTTTCATGGACTGCCTCATTAAACTTAAGTATTTCCAAAACTAACATCTTTTTCCACTGCACACGAACTTCCACGTGTGCCCATACAGCTTCTGACTGTTTCCATTTGTCCAGCAGCGCCCGCCACCCACCTGCGGGAGGATCCGGCCAGATCCCAACCTCTCCGCGCTCCTCCCGCCTCCCAATGCTTCCTCTGCCAATCAGGCTTCGGGCCGCGGCCGAACACGCCCACTCTTTCCC